AACTAATTTTTCTTCACTTCTTTCTTTGCACTATGTTTCCTGTGTATTTATTATTAGTATTATTGGAGGGTTATTTGGTTTTTCTATAATTATAAAACTAACCTTTTATTAACTAAAAACACCTAGACCATGTGTGATCAACAGAAATTACAATTTCATCATTATTTTGTTTAGAAGTACTGAATATCTGGTTGCATAAGCAACAAAATCAGACTTTCAGCAGCATAGATGAAGTCCAAGCAAACTGCCAAAAGGAAGATTTCCAAAACTAGTGAACGACCCAAAACTCCTGCTATAATGTTTGACTGGAACCATGACAGTATCGTGTATAAAATAAATCCGCAAACAAAAGCACTTGAAAGTAAAAAATACTTTTGCACATTACAGACTATCATTCCGTTTTATTTTATATAAGGATTGATTTTTTTTCTGGTTTCAGTTTATGCCCAGTTTCTGTCATTAGAAAGTGTAGGAGCGCATTTTGGAAATTGGTCAGTTTAACCCCTTAAAATGGTAATCTGTAATAATCCCATCTCAGGATTCATTGTCACATCCTAACCTTTGAATGGGAGACTAATCTTTTCCGTCTAAACAACACATACACTAAGATTTTCTGATAAAAAATTTTTATTATCATTATTGTTTGAAAGGCCTCTGAGCTAAGAGGAGCATGATGAGACTCATGTCTTGCACAGTTAATTCCTGGCAGAGCTTTTGTTTACAGTCAGTGATGTCGCAGTCCTGTGATTGTTGTCTCTGTTCATAAGAGCAGATGGACCCAGCAGAAACCTAGCTTCCCTGCTGAGGACCATGGGAAATATGGACTTTTCTGTCCATGTTTATCTTTTATCACTTCATTTGAGTCTATTTTTCTTTTTTCTTTACAGATAAATAACTGTATGCATTTCTTTATTGAAAGGTACCTGTGGATCAGCCAGCCGCCCCAAATCAGGATACAGATAGAACTGAATACCAATCCCGGCACCAGGGAGAGTGAGTCCTCTGATTAAAAGCACGATCAGCATCAGATAAGGAAAGGTTGCGGTGAAGTAGACCACCTGCATCGGTAAAGAACACAAGGCTAAGGGCCATGCAAACACAAAACTCTCCAAAACAAACACCAGATGTCCCCCCATACATCTTTGTGGAGAGCTTCATACGCGGATGAGGCTTTTGTTTTCCCTTCCGACCCACCTTTCCTGTGGATTTCACCCCCTTCCAGATGCAGAAGTAGCACATGACCCAGGCGATGAACAGACACAGGGCCATGTCCCAGTTCAGAGTGCCCATTTGGTCGATGCCGGGGGAGAGCCTCAGCACTTTTCTCCTGCAGGGACAGGCACACATCTTCAAATAAGTAAATCATCCGCTAAACAAAGAGAAAATCAGGGAATGGAGTCAGAGCAGCTTGAAATCTCACTCCCAAAACTCCATGACGGGTGAGGTTGTGTTCAGGTTGACCTTTTGGACGACCGAGGAGTTTCTCCTCTGGAACTCAACACAGTTTTCTGTCAGGAGAAAATATGCAGAAAGATGTCCCTAGATGCTACAGCAGAACATTTAGGATTATCTTTAATCCTCTGCGTTTGTTTGTCACCTGTGTTCCAGGTATTGTTGCAGGAAGCCCAAGGCAGTTCCCAAGAAAAGGAGTAGTAGAGGTAAAAGATCCCCCAGGCGAGGACGATGATGTAGTAGAAGTTCAGCAGAGTCACAATCACCTGCGTACCATAGCCGAGGCCTGCAGAAAAGGTGAGAAAACAAACAGAGGGCTGAAATGTGTCAGCAGACATCTACAGCGCCTTGCAGAACTATTCATACCCTTAGAACCTCCTGTGTGTGCACACCATCCACATTGTAAAGCACGGTGGTGGTAGCATGATGCTTTAGGTTTTTGTTTTCTTTGTGGCATGAAATGCATGCCACAAAGGGACAAATGGAGTCATGTCTTTGATCTGGCTAAATTATAAGGAAGTTCAAGTGGTATAAATAATTTATACCTCGCGGTTCTTTCCTAACCTTCGAACAGGGGACTGATTTTTCTCCAGCAGGTGATTCCTCCCTCACTGGTGTACTGGCCCAGGGCGACCTCCAGGAGGAAGACGGGAACGCCACAAGTGAAGAGGAAAATCAGGTACGGGATTAGAAACGCACCTAAGGATAAAAAGAGTGGTGGGATTATGAGTTAAATCAACATGGAGTCCTTATGTCTACAAGATTCTCCGGGTAAATTTTTTCATCCCGGCTCAGGAGCTTTTTTTCCACAGGACATTCAGAGTGCTCAGATTTCCCCGTCTCTGCAGGAACAGCTGTCTGACCCCACTTTCCACTCAACCCTGACCCTGACCGCCGCCCCATGGAGGGACAGAGAGACAGGGGACACTGTGTCCAGCTCAGCAGCTCCACCAGCCTCAACGTCTTAGATTAGTTTTAATCAGCTTAGATTTTTTTTTTTTTTACTAAAGAGCAAAAAGAAATGTTGACCTTCTCTAAATGGTTTACATTTGCTTCATGCAAAACAGTGAGTCCTTCATTGTACGGCTTAATCGGCGCAGTCATCGACCTCTACCCTCACCTCCTCCGTTCTTGTAGCAGAGGTAGGGGAAGCGCCACATGTTGCCCAGGCCGATGATGGAGCCGGCCACCGACAGGATGAACTCCATCTTGTTGCTCCACTGACCCCGCTCCTCCATCTTCTCCTCTGACGGCTGAGGTACATCCTTGATGCGATTGTTGCCATTTGGGTTGCCTTCCTTGGCTCCTATGAAACAGATCAAAGAACTGTAGCTGAAATGTTCTTCCTTCTTTAATAATAATCCAGACTTCAGCACTGATTCAGATTTAGAGTGAGTGCTGAGAGGGAAGCCTACCTTTCATTGCAGTATCTCCTCTTTGGTTGAAGCTGTTTGTGGATCTTTATCCAGAAAAGCTCAAAGTTTTAGTATTTAACGTGGCTGGCAGAAAGGGGCGGGGCTTTGTAATGCTAAACCTCGGATGGCCTTACCCTCTTTCCCCTCCATCTGCTCCTTGGGTGCAAAGTACATCGCCCATCATGTCTGGACAGTTAAAATAAGGTGCAGCATATGAGTTAAAGATGACCTTTGACCTTTTCGGGTCTCCAGTGTCGGCTTCAGCTGCACAAAAAAAAAAAAACCTGATATGAAATAAATAGAGAAGAATCTCTATGACCTTAAAAGTTGTGCAGACACTTCCCAGGTGTATTTAGGCCTGGTGCTTCTGTTGAAGTGTTATGACATCAGCAGAAGTTAGATATCTTTATTGTTTATTACATTGATACAGGGCTGCCCTCTGTGAGCACATGATTACTACTGTCTTCTCCTGTCAGTACATTGACAGAGGTGAAGCCACTCAGACGGAGGGTAAAAGCAGATGAGGTCAGTTTCCACCGGATTGGACTCGGCTGGGTTGGAGCCAGACAGCAAAACGATCCTCAGTCTTGAGGTTACAAACACTTCCCAAACCTAGAGTATTTTTGGTTTCCAGATCTTTGCAGGATATCTTATTCTAGTCCCTAAATCTCAATGAATTCTGGTTCTAAAATATGAATATGTGGTTTTATTTAAACAAATCCATCATAGCTCTGGTTTTATGTTTAGATTCCTTATCAAGCAAGAAGGTAAATCTCCGCTCCAGTCTTTAGTTTTCAACTTATCCGGGTATTGTGATTTGCAGGATTTTCAGTTTTTAGAACAGGTGAGATAAATCAGCTAACCAGACTATGAATTAAGTCATCCTAGATTTTAGGGTGAGCTTAATGATATAAGATCTCATCAATGGAAAAGCAGGAAATAAGAAGCCATAAAGAGATTATAAAAAAAATTAAACTGTTCTTGCTGTTCTTTTCCCCTGTTTTATAAGTATAATTCATATTTAAGATGTTAAACCTTGGTTCATAATGTCATATTAAAAATATCATAATTGCAGCTGAAACTGATGTTTTTTTTTTCTTTAAAGTGTTTTACAAGAAAATCTAAAATACAGTATTTTAGTATTATACAGTATTATTTAGTAATATAAAACATCCTTTCTTTAGTAAAGGAGCTATGAATGTGATGTCATCTATGCTCCCTGTCGTGCCAAGAAACCTGAAAATATATGACTAGATGTTGATTGAAATTTCAAAACAGGAGATAATGGATATTCTTTCACTGAAAGAATCTAAAGATTTGAGAATGTTGTTATTCATCTTGTGGATTTTTAAAAAGGAAAACCCCTCAAAACTGTGCTTATGTGTGTACCATTTCTTCTCTGATCTCAGCTCAAATTTTAGGATAGAAGTTTTAGGATGACTAAAATCTGGCGTAAGACCAGAGTTGCTTCAAGCAGTAACTGATAATGGTTACCCAGCTTTCTGAAACTCAAAAATCCTGGGTATGCAGAGATATCTCCACAGCATAATGCTGCCATCCCCGTGTTTCATCACTAGGATAGTGTCAGGCTAATCTCCTTTGGTCTCATCTGTAAATATTTAAAAGAAAATAACTCCTCATTTTAGTCAGGACATTTTTTCTCCAAGGATTTCCTTATTTTAGAAGCTTTTAATTATTCAAAGCTAAAAAAAAAAAAAAAAAAGGAGTTTCAAAGCACCATAAATGCAGAAAAAAATACATATAGGGTTTATACCGTTTTAAAGACATAAATGAAATGTTAAATGGTTTGAAGGCTGTACCAGGGTCAGCATCACTGATTGGTGCTCTCCTCCAGAGATTTACTGAAACTATAACCAAGACAAAAAAAGAATGAAAACTTTTATCAATTGTGACTTTGAGTTTAATATCTTTACTACTATCCCCAAACTATTGACGCCATCTTTGTTTGCTGCAGGTTACGGTAACTGATTGTCATCAGATCTGAATAACATGGAGGGATCCACCACCCTGCTAAAGAAAAGCACCCCCACAGCATGATACTACCCCTATCATGTTTCACAGTGGATGTTATTGGTGGCATAATTAAAGAAAAATAGAAGCAAACACATACGATTTGACTAGGAATCATTTATTAAAAGGTGAGAAAACAAAAAGCCACAAACCATTTTTTTTTTACTGTTTAAATGTTATATACATTATAAATAATTCCACTAGATTTGAACCATTTCTGCTTCCTTCTAGTCCTAAACATTGAGATGTTTCTGCCTGGGCAGCAGAGGGCAGCAGTGAGTAGGACAGAGTGTCCCAGGACTGGGAACATATTTGTCTGATCGGACTAAATAATGGAGCTTTAGGAAAACTGTTTTGTTGTAAATTAATTGAACTAGAGCACTGACACCATAAAGGGAGTAGCCGATGTTTCAGACCAACGGGTGTAATAGAAGGAAGAACTCTCTGCACCAACATCACATCTTAGAAGTCTGAGAACTTTTCTCCCATGAAACTGTTGAAAATTCCCTATTTCTTGTGCTTTACAATCCAGACAGAAACAGAAATCCTCCCATGGAAAGATAAAAGAAGTCTATTTGTCACAGACGAACCTGTACACAGTTTTTATTTTTTTCAAAGGGGTGCAGAGCCCATTTTTAGCGCTAGCTGTCCTGGCGAGGCTCTGGCCGATGGTTCGAAGCTGCAGGGTTTAAGAGGGACATGGCCGACCATGGAGCAACAGACGATACCGCTCCGCCGCACGGAGCCAAGACCACAATGTTTTCCCCCGCCACTTCTTCCACGGTGGTTCCTTCCACCCCGCCGGCAGCCTTCTGGGAACAGTCCATGCAAATGTAGTCCTCGTTTTCCGCCATTTCGCACGACACGCCCACGCACACCTGGTGGAACCACTCGTCGCAGCCGCCATCACACTGAACCCAGTCCACCTGGAGGAACCCAAACAGATAAAAAATGATAGATTTTCCCACAAATCACATCCTAAATCTATTGTATGGCATTAACACATCCCAACACCATGACGCTGCCAACGCTGTGTTTCACAGAGGAGATTTAGCTGCCATGAAGTGTGCCGTTTATTGCCACCAACTTTTATTTTTGACATAAAGGCCAAATGTTTGAATGAAAATGTGACAAAAGGTTTAGAAAGCTTCAAGGCTGATGAATTCCTCATCTCCGATTGGCTGCCAGGTAGGCACGAAGGAGGTAGACTGGCCACTGGTTAACTTAAAGGAAAGTATTCAGTTCTGCAGTTGAAATGGACCACATCAATGGGACCTGTTAATATGTGATGTGTAACTCTCCTTAAGGTGTTCCAGTGCTGTTATCAGCTGTTGATATTCAATAAAGTTATGTCAGATTCATTTGAGGAAATGGTTGATGTTAACCCCTTACAAAGAAAACCAAAGAAAGAAACATGCTTCCCTCATAAGGAGATGTTTGAAGACTATAAACTAGGCTATATTTCACTGAAGCACAGAACAATCAAAAAAGGTGTGTAACCCCGGCCCTCCATGAATGGAGTTTGAATGGAGTTTTAAAACACATGCAAGGATTCACTGGAAACATAAAAGATGTGATTAATTGAAATGGAAGATAAATAAACCGAATACTGACAAACATCCCTGAATTACTGAGCAAAAACAGTCAAAGTAAAGGAAAGAAGAAAGTGCATAAGGAAATATGTGGTAGTAGGAAACGAGGAAAACAATTAGGACAGAGGAATGGAAGAATAGAAAGAGTTGGAAGGTCAAAGTAGAAAAGGTAGTGAGGATATGAAGAAGGGAAAGCTGAAGGAAGGTTAAAACACTTCGACAGAAGGCAAATATACATTTATCTACAATCTTGTTCTTTCCTCACAGACCCAGAGCAGAAACACTGAAGGTTAAAGTCCTATTTTCCCTGAACTACAGTGGTAAAAATATCAATTCATTTTAGCATGATAGTATCCAGGGAAGGATTTTGGATTTGTATGTTTAAGAACAGTTTCAGTTTCATAGAATCTGCCCTGTTTGCCCTCTGAGCCAGGTGTCTATTAATCATCTATTGTTCTCTGTTGTTCTACTTTCTGAGCAGGACGGCTCTGGATCTGCAGGGAGGCCCAGGACAGCGGAAACTTGTCAGAATGAGTCCTCACCTTGTCTTTACAGGGTCTCTGGCAGTTCTTGGCTGCACACACAGCGTTCTCGTCATTGGAGTCCTCCGCACCCGACCAGTCGTACTTAGAGGGGATGTCCAGGATCTTCTTCTCCTTCCTCTTCTCCAGACCTTCCTTGATGGCCTCCGCTTTAGCAGCTGCCTTCTCCTTCCTCTTCCTCTCCTTCTCCTCCTTGGCTAACCGTTTGGCCAGCTGCTTCATCTCCCTGTTCTTTTCCAAGTTGAGTTTCAGCTTTTTCTTCTTAGGTTTGACCCCGAGGCCGAGCTCCAGGCCCACTCGCTTTAGCTCCTTAGATTTCTGGAGCCTGGGGTCGCCGACGGCCGAGGCGCCACCGGCGGCGGCCATCAACACGTGGTGCTGCTCCGCCCTCTCCAGCTTCCTCTTCCGTTTCTTTTCCGAGTCTTTAAATTTGATCTTGAGGGGCTTCTCCAGCAAAGAGTTGTCAGGCTGTTGAGAGGATGGAAATAAATGAAAATGGCTTCAAATCTGAAAAGTGTGGCATGAAATTAAATTAAATTCAGCGCCCCCCCAGGTCGCTGTTTAAATACGTCTGCTAGTTACTGTAAATAAATCACTTCGACATAAGTAACCAATCAACAAAAATCCAAACATTATCCCTCATTTTCTTAAATGTTGCAACCAAGTTACACAATCAGCGGCTCCCTACCTCCATGACTTGCAGGAATCTCTCCTCAGAGGGAGGGTGCGTGGCTTGCAGAATCCTCCAGATGTGCTGGGTCTCATCCAGGGACACCTCCAGCAGGTCTCCCAGCATCATCAGATCCTCCAGCTGGGCTTTAGCCTGGAGCGATAGTTCCAGCACCGGGGGCTCCAGGCTCCGAGGTACCAGGGGGGTCTTCCTGGGCTGCTTCCTGGGAGTGCTGATGTCTGAGGTTTAAACATTTGTAGGTAAAAGATGATTTAGACACCTTAAAGGATTTATGTGCATTAAACAAGTAAAAGCAAAAGGCTCTGTCAGTGACAGCAGATTTAGTCTCACTTTGCACACAGGACTTGGAGGCTGATGAGTAGGCGTGTTCAGCGCAAAATGAAGGAGTAGCAGCGGGCCACATGTGACTGACCACCTCTTCTGACTTTACAGGAATCTCCTCGTCACAAAACAGGTACGGCTTTAGCTCCCCCGGGTCCTGAACCAACAGATGTGGGTCATTACAGTCGAATATTAAGACCATATGAACATAAATGAAGGTTTCTAGATATAAATGAAGTGCCTCATCGCTCACCTTCATGTCATAACCATAGGTCTCCCGGATGTCCTCGTCTGAATCCGTTTCCTCGTCGTCGTAGTCCAGAGACGGGCGAGGTGAAGCCGCCCTGCTGAAACCGGACTGCTGGAAGGTCTGGATGTGACCCTGGAGAACAGAAAACATGTTAACATCTGCTTTCAGTAGAAAGCTGAATAACACAGCTGGATGCTCTGTCGAATAAAAAAAAAAATATATAAAAGGCTCGAATTCCCTGAGGCACAGTCTTCTGTATCAAACACCTTCAGTTTTCAGTGCTTCAAAAACAAAAAAAAACAGCACAGCAGAACGAAACAGCTGTGACCTACTTTAAAAGATTTCAAAATAAAAGTCTGAGTTACCTGTAAGTCAGGATTGGCAGCAGCTTTCAGCAGCTCAGCGTTGATGATCTTCTCCGTTTTCTCCCTCGCTGCCTGCTCCACCATGCGCTGGCTCAGCACTGAAAGCTTTGCCAGGGCGGAGGACAGCTCCTCCGTAGCCAAGGCTTGACGTGCTCGATCCTGGAAAGACAACAAGGTGAGAAGATCTTTTAAATCCAACAGAAAACATTAAATTCAAGCTGCAGGAGAGGCGGGAGTGAATACCTGCCAGCTCATCGCCCTCTCTGTCAAACACTGCAGAGCCTCTCCTTCTGGCAGACGCGACGGCAGCTTCTGCAAAGAAACCAGCAGGGACAGGATGGTCTCCAGTCTGGGCCTCCGTGACCTCTGGCACAGCGGACACAGGAACTTAGAGTCTTTACTGTTGCCCTGCCAGCCGACGCCCACTTTCTTCTGCGTTCCCGTCTTGGGCAGAGGGACGCACGCTCCGTGGAACCAGTCCTTACACAGCTCGCACTGCAGCATAAAGCCGCTGGCCGTCTTTCTGCACAGGCAGAACTTGACTTCCTCGATGTGATCTGCCATGGCCATCTTGGCCAAGTTGGCGGCGCGCAGCGAGTGGATAGCCTCCACTTCCTTCTGCTCCATAACTTTAAAGGCGGCCACCACAGCTGAAGGCTCTCGCACCTCCTCCAGGCTTTCCTCCAGATCGCTCAGGACGTCGGGATTATAGCCGCTTCGCTCCTTTTCCAGGAGCTCTTTGACGCGCTTCCGCTTGCTCTTGCTGTTGCTGTACACTCCGATGTCCACACGAGGGCTGAGAACCTGATTAAAAAAAAGGATAATCTAATAATCTAGTCCTGCAGAAAATACTTAATTTAACCAAGTCAAATATTTACAGGCTCCCTAAACGTGTTTTTAAACAAATAAAGGGTTTTTTTTTTTTGGCATGGCGAAAAGTTAGCAGAAAAATATCCAAAAGTCGAATATTCATTTCTAGAATCAAGTTAAATATTATCTAAGGCTCATTTTTAAATATAAATCATTTTCTCTTAATCCCAAAATATTAAAAACAAGAGTCTTCTATTTCCCTAAATGATGAAACGTTCTGGAATACAAGCTTTTGCGGGAAACTGTATGTAAATCTAAAGTGTTCCCACCTGGAGCAGATTGTACGTGGAGTTTTTCTTGAGGAAGGTGCGAGCGGTCCGCTCCCTCCACGCTCGGGCCGAAGCCACCTGTGACTCCACTTGTCCAAGCGAGTCGAGCCGTACGGGGATGGAGCGACCTCTGGCCAGCAGGCTCTCCAGCTGCTCCAGGTAAGCGTAGCTGCTTCCGCTCTGGATGGCCTCCACTTTGGAGGTCCAATCCTTGGCCTTCTGCAGGGCCTCTTCCAGAGCCAAAACATTGGGCAGATATGCTGGGATGTTTCTTGCCTCCAGGACAATGCTCTCTAAGGTCACCATGCTGTGGCGAGGCCTGGGTTTACAAAAGGACACACAGGCAGGGGGTTTGAAATCAACAGCTCAAACCCGCATTTTGAATCTGAAGCAATGTTTTTTAGATTTAAGGCCTCACCTTGCCTGCAGGCAGGCCCTGGCTTTGTCCTCCCAACGCTCTGAGACAGTGAGGACTTCTTGCAGCTCGGCCATTGCCTTCTCCACTGCGTGGTGTGGTGCTAAACCAAGTCCAGAGTCTATCAGCCTCTTCATTAGCTCCAGAGTGACACGGTGAGGCTCAGCGAGGGTGCCACGAACCTTCATTTATGAAACAAAAATGCAAAATTACACAATAAGGGAACAGCTTTGTTTGTTTTAAGTTACAGTAGATAAAACATGAAACCAACAAGCTACAGGTTGGAACACAATCCCACCTCATCCAGCCAGCGCGCCTGCTGCAGCTCCTGCTTCAGCTTAGGGAGCTCAGGCAGCTCCACATCCAGGCCGCTGCCCAGGTCCAAAAGCTCCTGCAGCTTGGAGGAGTCGGGCATCTCGTCCGACAGCGCTACCTGGGCGCGCTCGTGGAAGTCCTCCACCGTCTCCAGTAGCTCCTGGACAGAAGAGCAGCTGTTTGACGTGACTGAAGGAGGAGGGTTAGAGGTGATAAACAGATTGAGACTAACTTTGACTTGTCGCGCCTGGCTGATGATGCAGGGCAGCTTGTAGAGCTGCTCCACGAACGCTTTGAGCTCGTCCACGGTCAGTTTGGTGCGACTGCGGCTACTCTCAGAGCGAAGGCGGCTGCTGCACAAACAGAGAAAAGAAACGTTCAGTTTCCCTTTAAAACAAGTATTTAAAAAAAAAGTGAACAACGCACTATTCGATCCTACAGCCTTAAATCAGGGAGAACCTGATCGATTCAATTAGCTTAAACTTAACATAGAATGGTACTGTAAATTAAAGATGGGGTGAAACATTTTTTTGAAAGTTCTTTCCTGCTGTTTGTCTATAGATAGTCAGATACTAATGATTTGAAATAAAGAATTTTTAAAAGAAATATGCAGTTTTTCTGGTTTTGTTTTTTTTTGCCCATACCAAACCCCCAAGTGTGACGTCACTCTGGGACATTGGCTAGCCAACATGGCGGATATAAACACTGAAACAAAAGCGATAGGAAATGGTTATGAATCTCCGTTAAGTGAGGGTTGTGAGCGCTTACCACTGCGCCACCACAGCCCCTAAGTGAGGCTATTTCAACGGATAACGACCATAATCCTGGACATCAACTTTCACAATGGTAGGTGTTAAAACTGCATGTTTTATGGATAGATTAGGGCTGGGCGATATAGAAAAAAAGCTTATCGATAAAAAAAAATGCATATTGATCGATATCGATAATTATTGAAAAGATTTGAAACCATATTTTATGTGCAGCTCTGCCTGGACTTTTTATAAAATTGCTAAATGATTTAATTTTAATAAAAAACACAAACACAGACTTCGAATTAAATCTTTATTTAACCAACTTTTTTAACCATAACAGAATTGTTTTAAAGAAAAATAACTTAAGAGACCTGAGTTATGTTATTAAATACTGACAAAGAATAAACTAAAGTGACCAAAATAAATATAACAAATAAATAAATGCCCCGCCGCCGCCGCCCCCGTTTCCTGCTTTAACCTGAGTTATTACTTTGAAGTTTCTGGCCCCTCAGCATTTTTATCTCAATTGTTAGAACTACGTGGGAAACTGCCCAGAACTGAAAATATATATATATTTTCCGAAGATTCCTCGGAGGAGAGCCGCACCGGGGCCTACACAGCTCGTACTCCTGCGGCTGTGAGCGGCTGAGATGATAAAAAAAAGTTGGTTTCGTTATCAGACTGGTTTTCACTGGTTCCCGACACATTTTCCAGATGACTGTGGTTTGTTTTTGGTCCGACTTGCATGACCGAAATACTGCCAGACTGCCGAACTACAAAAACCTTTCTTTGAAACAATTTCCTCCGCCTCTCCTTGCTGCATCTTCATGTGCTCTGTGTTGTGGTTTGAGAGGGCGGCGCTTGGTGACGGCATGCCTGGGTCCGCGATTGTGATTGGTTGGGAGGAAGCAGTGGCTAGCATAAACCTACATGCTAGGCTACAATGAGAAGGAAGGAAAACTGCTTTTCTTTTTTATCGAACTTTTATCGACCCTCTTTTTTTCTATTGCGCCACACGTCTATCGATCGATATATATCGTTATTGAATTATCGCCCAGCCCTAGGATAGATATTTATAGATATTACTGTAGGCTTGCCAGCTATCTATTGCCAATAATAATCATGCTAATAACATGTATTAACCAAACTGTTGTAAACCTACTGCACATACTTTAGATCCTACATGGCATAAATAAATAAAACATTATTCAATAATAATGTAGAGTAGGGCTATCCTGGACCATTAGATTCCATATAAAAATAGTGAGGGTCCCACTGACTTCATAGAGAGCTTCTTCTACACAGAGTGAACAGATCCCCATCTGTACAGATTTTTTTTCCACTTCTGTCCCAGTGCGCCACATGTTGAAACATATCCCGAGTTTGACTGGGTCAGATTAAGACACATTTTTTTTTTTTTTTTAATAAAAAGAACTGTATAAAAAACTGCAACTACAAAGCAAAGCCTTTGTGCCTCCTTGTTCTGTTTTTTTTGGGGAGGGGCTTAAAGAGGATCACTACTTCCCTTTATCTGTTTTCTGTCCTTCTGAACACCTAGGTATTCTGTTTACTGGAGTAAACAGTCTGCTATAAGTGCGCTGTGCGATCCCAAATGGGGGAAAACTGAATGTTTTTCCCCTTGAGATTTTATTTTGCATTTCCCCCAAAGAAAATGCGTTTTACTTTGCAACCACGACTCTCTTCCTGTCAGAAGCTGAATTGTCTTCTCTCCCAAATCCATCCTTTAGACTTTAGATTTTTTTTTAGACCACAGAGCCCACTAATGCTCCTTGGAGCAACGCAATGCTACACATCTCCATGTCATTAAAGGTAAGAGCAGAAATTACCTGCTGTTACCGCCACTTCTTTGGCGACTGGTGGCCTAGTGGTTAGGGCATGTAGCTTGGAATCCAGAGGTTCCGAGTTCAAGTCCCATTCCCATGGACTGACACTCTGGGTCCCTGAGCAACGACCCTTAACCCCCACATCGCTCGCCGGGCTCCGCACAACTGCAGCCCACTGCTCCCCAAGGGGATGGGTTAAATGCAGAGAGCTCATTTCGTTGCTCTGTACTTGTGACAGTGTAATGACAATAAAACGCAGGAAGAGAGTGATGTCTCAATGGTTTTGCACCCGAAGCATTCGGTTTCTAAGGTGGTTGCTATGGCACTTTCTCAGGTTTGGATGAAGGATATAAAAACATTTTTTGCCGTTCGTTAATAACAACTGTTCACCCTATTTCCCTTAATAATTAACTCTTCACCCCATCTTCAAGACTAGAAAACTAAGATGAAGGGACAGAAATACCAATAATTTCCCATAATTTACTTTTTTATATAACTTTTTTTTAAATCATTTTTTGTTCAGAAGGCCTGCTGAGAACAAACCTGTGCCTTTGCTTGCGGCTGAGCAGCAGCTGGGCCACTGAGGAACACGTCTCTGCTTCTTTCACCATCTCCCCCAGGCGGCGGAACAATGCGTTCTCCGGATACTTTCTGTCCTCGGCGTCCTCCAGCAAAACCTTCAGCTCTATCAGATCTACCACAAGCCAACAAGGAGAGTTCAACTGACGGGAAACCAAGTCTCACTGATTATCAAAACTTAACATCTTTTGCTCTTTTTACTCATAAACACCACATTTAGCTTTCCGTATCGTTGCTTTTCCTAACTTTCCAGAGGTCCTGGTACAAAAGGAAAGGTAGGAAATGAAGATAGAGCAAAGCAAGGCAATAAGAAAGGAAATCAACAGAGGGAAAATAGATGAGGACTAGGAGGTCGGATGTAAGGAAAAAAGAGAAAATGAGTAAAATAATAGGAAGATGACAAGAAGAACGAAGAAGGGATAAGGGAGGAAGAAATGCAGGTGAGGAAACAATGACTGCAAGGAAGCATAGGAAGGACAGAGAGAAGGTACAGCATGGATGGACTAAAGGTCTGAAAGTATAAATATTCCTTTTAAACCCTTATTTTTCATGCTTTCAGGACTTTTCCAGACTCCGTAGGAACCCTTAGGTAAATCTTTTATAGTTAAGTTCTGGTGTTCTGGGTTACATCAACTAAATACCTTTCTTGTTTTTCTGGTCTGCAGCTAAAGCCTCTGCGACACGTTTTCCCCAGGTCTCATAGGACTGAGCCCGTGTCTTCACGCCATACAGCATGGATGGAAACTCTTCCAGATCATAGCGATACCTAAAAACAAACCAAACAATGACTCAAACTCCTCCCAAACTCCTGAGTCCTGCCCCGTCATGGAGGATTAGAGGAATCTAACCGGAGACACTTGCTGCCGAGGGGACAGTCGCAGAGGTCCTTTGCGTGGTGGAGACAAACAAGTCGATCTGGACTGCAGGAACAGGTCAGCGCAGACAGGAAACAGGTCGTCTTACACTTAAAGCACTGACGCTCATCATCTGGGAGCAGCTCAAAAACCTCCTGCTCTGATGACAGAACCCCCTTTAAAGAGAGAGGAGGCTGTTTCTGAACGATTCCATTTCCAGAATCTCTCCATGATCCGATCGGGAAGAAGAGACTCACCATTTCCTGCGCAGCCTGTCTGAGTTTCGTTTCCTCCTCTATCATCTCATCCATTTCTTTAAAGACGGCGGCAGCGAGTTCCACATTCAGGTTCTCTGGATCAGCTGCCATTTTGCACAACAGCTCCTCGTGGGAGAAGACGCAGTAACGGTGGAGACGGCGGTAATGAGCGACACACTGGCGGCCTTGGGGTAACTAAGAACAACAGAGATGGAGGCATGAATGGGGAATTTAAATAAATCTCAGGTTATTTATAAAGGAGGATTAGCTGTGCTCCTAACCCAATCTGCAGGGCAGAAGTTAACAGCTTCTGCAAAGTTGTAGCCCTGGTTGAAGCCGCTGTGGTACGCCCTTGGAAAGGTAACCACAAACTCTCCGGCACACTGATTGGTCCTGTAAACCTGAAGAAAGACGTTCTTACAAGAGCTGCAGACTCAGCTAGATCAAGCGTTTAAACCTTAGGGTTACATACCGGGACGCCGTGATCCACGAGGACGTTTGGATTCATGATGGTGACGAGCTGGTGCAGCAGGTCTGGCTGAGAGTCAAAGAGCTCTGGGGCCAGCTTCTTCATCACAGCCTCTAGCTTCTCCGCCGCAGAGGCCGGCACGCCATACCAGGTTTTGGGTTCGCCCCTGGAGCAAACAAAGTAAAAAAAAGCATATTCATTAAAATACTTACAAATCCACACAACCTACTTTAACAGTTATACCGCTGCTGTTTTTAACTAAAATTAAAAACTTTGGAATTTCAAAAATGTGGCTCAAGAACTTTGGCAAAAAAAAAAAAAAAAGAAGGTGGGAACGAAACAAAGAGCAAAGATACGGCAAGAGCAAAGGACCCGAGCTCAGAGGAAAAAGTTGCAGTTGCTGCTTTTTGGTGGAGAGAGGGGCTAGCCCACTCACATTAAAGTCAGATCATTGGGTGCGCATGTTGTCACCAAAGTCTCCAACAAGACAGGAAATATTTGCTAGTCATTTAAAAATAAATAAGTAAAAGAAAATTGCTAAATATAGCAATAAAGCCGCTGAGTTGGCAGCACTGTGCTCATCTGCCTCTGTGAGCTGATGACAGTCCAACGCAGGGTTCACGTTTTCACAGTGCCAATGAGGGGGTAACTGTTTAAAAACAGACCGTTATGCTCATTAAAGTCAGGGTTAAACATATTTGCATTGTGGTGCTTTCAGATAACAAGTTTCAAGGAGGGAGCTTTTTTTTTTAAAGCTCGCCCTCTACTGTTGAGGCTGCAGCATTCACCAGTCTCAGTGGGCTGATTGAACGGCGCTGGGTTCACGTTCTCAAAGCACTTCTGTACTCAGGCTTATATGCAAATAAGCAGGTAACTGTGCAAACCATTATGCTCAGGTCTATGTGCTGCTGGCAGAAACATGAAAGGCAACGTTGATTCCTCGTAACTGGTTCCTTAAATATTTTCCACAAACAAATTTATTATTTGACTTTTTGGAAATTCTTTCCCTTTCTGATTTTTTAATAAACTAAACTTGAATCAAGCCTAAGTTATTTTAGAAGCTGAATGCGAATGACAGAAACACCTATTTGCACACATGCTCCCATTTTTTAAACTTTTCTCTACTCGCTCCTATCTATTTTTGGGGCGTAAATGTGAGTAAAACACACCGTGCAGCCTCCAATATGTTTATCAGTCTAATGCACTGGAGCAGATAATTATTTCCAGTTTTGGCCTCCAAATCAAAAAGCTCTTACCAGTGGAGGAAGTTAATGGAGTAACTCCAGTGGTCCTCGATGTGCCAGCAGAACGAGGAGAAGCACATGCCCACGTAGAGCCAGGGCACCTTCATGCCTGATATGTCCACGTTGATGTGTGTGAGAACCGACTGCTCCAGAACCGGCATGTTGTTCAAGTTCCAGCCAGAGTTTGCATACTCCTATCAGAAGTGGAAATGTTCGTTTTTCCCCCCCCAAAAGAATGATCACAAAATAAAAACTGTCAAAATGGATCAACGTTTTATCTCAGCTTCCAGAGCTTATTCAAATGCTGCACTTTGCAAATAAATCAGCCTTTTTTTTTATCAGCTGAATTAAACTCAAAAATAAAATAAGGAAATTATGCATTTTAGAGCAACAACTGCAGAATCTAAGATTAATGTTGATGTTGCCGCCCCCTACTGGCTAAGCAGCAATATTTCAGCATTTATTTTTGTCTCTTTAAAAGCAAAGCAAAAAATATAAAATATATATAATTGAAAGTTGTCAGTTGTTTCACCTCTTCATCTCCTAGGAGCCTCCTTTTGCCATCCTTCACAGGAAAACCACTGCCCACGTCCTTGGAGCTGATGTCAGCGCCGTACTCCACGATAACATCCTCTTCGATGCTGCTGACCAGGCGCCAGAACTCCTTCTCCACCAACTCTGTTGGAACCATCTAGAAACACAAGGAGGACTTTGTTGAACTTCAGATTAAGGAGCTTAGGAAAGATCTGATCCCATTTACCCACTAATGAGCTGCTTCAACGAACCAACAAAGCTGGTTCTACTCACATGAACCGGCATGTTGAAATAGTCGGATTTGAACTGGTCTGCCATTTCACCAAAACTCTGCAGAGAGTACTCCCTCACAGCCTGCTCGAAGCCAAAGGCTTCTCTGGGCTTACTGCACTCCTGTGGGTGAAACACAAAAGCACAGGAATTGATTAAAGATAAAAAAGGCAAATTTAAAAGGTTTGGGTTTGTTTAAATGCTGGTTCTTGTCTGGAGAAATAAGTGTAACAAATACGTAGCTCCATAAAGTGATAAGATATTAAACAAAAATACAGAGCGCCATCTGGGGCTTCAGTTAGCCTACCTCAGCGACGCACTTGGGGCACCTCCAGTCTCCTTTGGGCACATCCTGCAGGGGCGGAATGAGGCAGAAAGTGTGGTAGCTGTCATCACAGCCGTCACACAGCAGCAGTCGGTCCTCCTCGTCTCCTCGTCCACAAACCAGGCACAAATAAAGGTCGATCTAAGAGGAAAGAAAAGAGACACGATGACTCAATCTGGAGGAACCGAACAACAAAAATAAATAAAAAATGATTAAGTCATAGGCGTGGCCCATTTTTGGGGTGCTGGAGCATCCCTAAATTAAATCAAAGCACCCCTAAAATATGAGTTAATATATATTTTTTTTTATACTGGATGTGCTTTAAAAAAAAAAAGTGTAACACTTATTAGTTTAAAAGTTGTTTTCTTTTTTTAAGTTTTTTAAAAAGTCACATTATACTCAATACTTTTTCAATACTCAAAACTTTTTTTCTTTTGCTACGCTTAAACTAACATTACAGGTGTTCAGTGCCGCTGTCTGCTTTAAGTGGAATGAGATCAGCTAGCTGCTGTCATATGCATGTGTTTATAAAAGCCAAGGTGGTAATAATGACAGGTTAACTGGATGCACATGAACATTATAAGTCCTGCTCTGATTGCATGTGCACAGACAGCCTGGACTGATTTTGTTTGGGAGGAAGAAATAGCCAGATTCAGTTAAGATCAATGTTATTATTAGATTATGTCAATGTTAAAGGCACACTTTGTGACCTAAATAGTTGGAGCATATGAGTTATTTTAAATGTTTCCTACAGCCAATATATAGCACTTGACACTATTAATGCTACAAGCGGGGCTTCCCCTTTTGAAATACCTCCTATATAAGGAATAAATATGCACCGTCTTGGCGAGGTCATGTGACCCGGAAGAACGTATTGCTTTACGGCCACAGGCTCTTGTATCGTCAAGGAGCCAAAGCTTTTGCTCTATTATTTTTCCACCTGCTCTACTACTGGTAATGGCATAGGTAAGGAAAAAGTTTAAACCTTCTGAGGAGGGGAAAAAGACAAAACGGGAGAGGGATCGTGTACGAGGAAAAACAAGAGTCGATCATGGAAAGGAGTTTGTTGGTTGGCGCCGGCTGAAATAAGACAACGGATGTAAAACTGATTTTCTTTTCTCAACTACATCATTAGACTGGCAAGTTAACACTTTGCTCCAACTATACAGTCATATACCTTTGTTATTATTTCGATGTTTAGCAGAAGCAAAATAAAGGCTGTTACAGGTCTAGCGCCCCTATTGGCCAAAAGGTGTTCAGTTTTCCTTTAATATCTCTTAATAAATCACAGACAAAATCTTTGGTTATGTGCCTTGAGCAGCAGAAATATGCCTTCTTTTTTTGTATTCTTCATTGTATCCATGTATATATATATAGAGAGAGAGATTTTATATTTACTCCCACATCCCAGCTGACAAAAGTAATACTAAAAATTCTATGAAAATAATACTAAAAAATGATGGGTCTTCTAAACTAAAACGCTTTGCAAAACTTTGAAGGAACCACTTTTATCAGGCGTTTTCTGTTCGGTCTGCACCTGCAGATGGTTTGTTGGTTATATGTTCATGAGCAAGATGCTCTAATATGTCAGGGACTGTTTTGTTTGTTTTTCTTATTTATAAAACCACAACTCAAAATCAATATTTCCATTTACTAAATCATAATTTCCTTTTATTTTTATATATTTACCATTCTTTCAGCTTCTTCTTAGTAGAATTACCATTGCGAATTTAGTCTTTTCTTTAACTGTATGTTTTCATCTTGTTAAATACAATCCATGCTGTGGATCCCTCTTTAGATTGCCAGTCCAAAGAGGGAGGAGTGTGCAAGAGGAAGTAGAGGAGTAAGGTGCGTGCAAAATGCAAGATCAGGAAAAGAAAAAAAACGAACAGAACAGTAGCATGACTAACAGCAATTATTAAGCTGATAAAGCAAAGTATTCAATTCATTAGTGATGATCCCCCAAATTAAAAGCTTTCCAGAAGCGTCCATACTCGTAAAATATCAGTGGACTTCTTTCTAAACAAGAGGTCTTATCTCTGTGCTTTACTACATACTTCATTTCACTTCAAAAGGAGGAGAACAGGGAGATGAGACAGGGAAAGAGAAGAGGAGACACAGAGAGAGCAGCATAGCAGACACCAGGCCAAAGGATCTCAAAATCTGCTTTTCGAATTAGAGGATAAGACTACCGGTCTTAAACATTTAGAGCTATTCTAGTTCCCATTGACTCAGTTTGGCACACAAAAAAGGAGCTTTTCGGAAAAACTGGTTCGAAAGCTTAAATGGTTGGAATATGCTTTCTGTTTTGCTTTTCAGTTATTTGGCAAAACTCTCATATGATGCATTAGTGAAAGATGAAGTCAGTAATTGGCAATTTGCACTGAGCACAGGGAAATTTATCATGCCTAGCAGACAGCTCTCTGGGTGCAGAGCATCCTTAAACGTCTGATCCTAGAAGTACACCTGCATTCAGTTAGCAAACAGAAATGAAAGCCTCTTACAAAGTTAACCTCCAGCGTCTCCTTGCGTGGTCTCATTTTAATGGCGAAGGCCTGGGCTTTGAGGTGCCGCTGCTTCTTAACGAACCCATCATCTGAGCAAAATGAGAAAAGCACAAACATAGTTCAGTCCGCCGACCTGATGACTGGGACAGCCATGATGGAAAAAAATCTTACCAGCTGGTACTATCTCCAAATCGACCATCTTGGGACTTGTTCCGAAGATTTTGAGACCTTTTGGCTCCTTGTTTTCCCTCTAGAGTTGCAGGGATTTTTAAAAAAAGCAGCAAAATGTGAGCAGAGATCCTGACTTAAGGTAGAAGTTTGGCTTTGTTAGGACAGAAGTTTAACACTATTTTTTTTGGAGGAAAAAAATTATTAAGACCAGAAAAACTTATCTTTTACCTCTGATTTCAGTCGACGGGAGCGCCGCTCTGATTGAAGCCGTTCTTTGGTTTGCGTCACGTCACCCTCTCTGTCTTTCTCCTTTTCATCTTCCTCTTCTTGCTCCTCTTCCTCCATCGCCTCCTCCCCGACACCCTCATCCACTTCTTCCCCATCTGTTCCTTCATCATACAGCCGCTGGATGCCCTGAATAAAACCAACAAGTAGAAACAAACTCATAAATATATATATTTAACTTCTATTGCAGAAAAGCAAAGAAACAAAAGTAAAAAAAAAAATTTTCTCACTTAACGGTTTAAAACCTCCTTAACAGAACTACATCCAAACCACTTACCGTAAGAGTTGCTCCAGACTGGAAGAGTTCATAGGGGTAAAGGAATCGCTCATAATGTGAGCGCAGAAGAGACCCAGTGCCTTTTCCCGGCGGGTAACCCATGCGAGTCGCCACTTTGGACCATCTTTTGTCTTTGCAGACTGTCTCAAACCCGCCTTCAGAAGAAACAATCTGGAAAGAAAGCAACAGAAGAACTTTAACAACACATTAGAGACAAGAGAAACTTTCAGATACTAATCAAAACAACATTTCTGAATTTTAATGGGTCAGAATGTCTCAATAACTTTTAGCTGAGGCAGAAAAAAAGACCAAAAATGAAGAACTAGCTTCACCTTGCTCAGCTGATAGAGATCCAAAATCTTCCTCTCCACGTGAGGGAAGCGAATCTTAGATCCTTGCAGCTCCCAGAACTTTGCGATCTGATCCAGGAAGTTAAGTTTAACTCGAGTGAGTGCCTTTAAAAGCAGAAAGAAAGAAATAGAAATGGGATTAGAATAAAGAGAAAATAAAGAATGACTGTTAAAGGCAAAACAGATTTTTACTAGAACCACTTGATACAAAAAAAAATCCCTCAATAAACCAGGAATCCGGCTGGTTAAAACTCCCTTTAAAGGTTTTAGCGGAGCAGATCTGCCAACTTGGATTTGAAGAGCTGCCAGAATAAATCTTGGCAGGTTAAAGGCAGGAGCAGAGTTAGCAGCTTAATGATGTAATAATAATAATATTAATTGAACTGTGCAGCGCCTAGGGAGCAATCTGGGTTAAGGTTCTTGCTCAGAGACCCAGAGGGGATGAAACCGGGTACTTGCAACCTTCTCAGAGCACACCGCTCTGACCACTAGACCAACACTCCCCAATCCTATATGTAGATCTGCTTCATTTCATGTAAAATTAACCACAAGAGAAAACTGACCATTTCCAAAGTGTACATTTTTCTCTTCTTCCTCTGTAGAACCACATGATTTCCATAAACATATTTGTTCTTTAACTCACCTCAAGCTCATTTAGTCTCTGGACTCTTGGGGTAAAGCGGAAGTTGCGAACATCACAGGCAAAAGGAGGCTGCCAGTCCTGACAGACAAAAGAGAAGCACTAAATTTTCCTGTAGTTACTCCAGAAACACAGCAATGGGAATAAATTCAAACTAGATCAAACACTCAAAGTAATTATATATACACATATATATATATACACACACACACATACATACACACACATATATATATATATATATATATATTTAAAAAATATACATTAAAAGCCACGATCACACAAAAGTTTGATTAAATAATAACAATAACCATATATGACAGGTTTATTACATAATCACTGATGATATTTATAGGAGAACTTGGTTCATTTTTAATCAAATCAAATTACAATCTCAGGCTTGAATATTTGATCTCTAAATCATACAAATAAGGGCTACATGTCGCTGTCTAAGGACTCACATAAGCTTCAGGCCTGCATCTCCTACAATGTCATCATGTCCATAACTGATCTAACACTCAGTGGTCAGGAAAACATAAACAAAGCATCAGATACAGGAATTATAAGACAGCTGAGGGTTTTTTTTAGCTGGGTTTTAACAAAGAGTAAAAGGCAGACAATGTGCACAATGATATTAAGCTCTATTTGACCTTTATTAAAGCAGCCTGCTTCTAACTAGGAGTTGGGTGACAAAATTCAGGTAGGCCCAAAATAAACCTCAGCTGAGTACTTCTTCTAATCACAAAGGATTAACCCCAGATTTTACAGATTATTCTGTTTATTTAATCAAATGTAAGCGTTTACCTGGGGAGGTCTGATCTTGCAGATGCCCGTTTTCTCCGCAATGGGACGGATTTTGTTGATAAATCCTAATGGATCCGAAAATTCTTCCCAACTGGGCTCGAACACCGGGCACTCAGGAGGGGGGACAAACTCCGCGATCGCAGCCATGTCGTAGTCAATCCAGTCATTTACAAAACAAATGTGGTCGAAATGAAGAGCTGAGATCAATAATCCATGTTGTAACAGTGGCTATCTTCTTGGGAAACTTCCTCCTTGCCCATGATTATTATGTAAATCACACAACAGCGTCCATGTGTGGATTCATAATGAGGTTTGAGGGAGAAAAGAAAACACCGATTAGCCTAGCAGCTAATGATGAGTGCGTTTCCATCCTCCGTAAAGTGTTGGGCAGGCCAGGCCGGTCTTGGAAGTCTTCACCTGAGAAGTAGGGTAAAGTCAGCCCGACACGCTAGCATCTCCTCCATTCGCGTTTCCAACAAAGTTAGCAACATTAGCTCACACTTAGCGTCTTCTTCTTCCTCTTAAGGTTGCCACCCAAGCTGGATGCTAATAATCACAGATGCATAGCAGGGTGTGTTCATTTCAAGAGCTCTTATTCAATTGGACATAAGGACAACAAAACAGGAAGCTAATTAAATCGGTGCTAGCTTAGCTGCAGCTGTCTGTTGCGCAACTAAACATTGTCGTCCGACGAATAAAGTCGCTGAAGTGAGATAGTTGTCCATCTCGCTGGGTTGAAAAAAACATGCATTTTAAAAGGATGGAGAGGTTGTTAAACGATTTAAATTGGTTTAAAGGCAGGAATTGTGCGTGTAAATGGACGTCGTCTGAAGGTATCATAGCCGCATTAGCAAACAGGCTAGCTAGCACTAGCAAAGAGGAGAGCCGTTGGGATGCCTTCAGTAAAGCTCGGAAAGCCCAAATTGAAGCCCCGTGTTTAGGAAACAAATGTTAGTATTTGTTCAAGCGATTAATTTATACCGTATATATGCGTATATTAAATCGGCATCGAAAATGGTTTATTATAGTCTGTATCAGGTTTGGATTTCTAGCCTAAAAGCTAAGGAAAAATTGCGGGTCTACTACTCTAAAGTCTAAATTACAGAAATTTCATGAACAACACTCTGTAAACTAAAATTGCATTTAATAAATTTAATTCAATATGATTTAAAATGGCATATTAAGACAAAGATCAGTTGTTTCATATTTGACCGTACTGTATAATTAGTAAAACTGTTAATTATTCCTTTTAAACGTTAAAAGGTCTTCTTAAATTGTGATGAAAGTGAATCGTAATGGGTTAGGGCAGGGGTCTTCAACGTTTTCCAGGGCAAGGGCCCCCAAAGTGATGGGAAGATGGAGCGGGGAGCCCCTAATTATACTATTAGGGGATTTTGACAAAATCTCGGACGATTTTGAAATTCCCCCATTTTCTGAAATTGTAATATACCAAACTGGTCCTATAGTCACTCTATTACAGATAGAGTAATGTAACGAAAGTAATTTCTCCCTGGGATTATTAAAGTATTTCTGATTCTTATTCCTGGTTGATGGGACAGGTGTTGTGAATGAATCGGTGCCCAGCTTGAAAGAGCTCCTGTGTGTCGCTGAATGTGTGCATTGATGACTGAAAGACGTCTTCTGCCTCCATTTATCTGTTTACTTCAGTGTGTTGAATTCATGTTAATGTGTAATTAAAGACATTTCAATTAGTGGGAAAAATTGCGGGGGGAATATGAAAAAAAAAAAAGTAATCAACCAAAACCTTCGCAACACCCTTGCAGTACCTCCGTGGACCCCCTAGGGGTCACGGACCCCCTGTTGAAGACCTCCGGGTTATGGATATACACCTTAATGCTTATGTCTCCCCTTTTTTAACATTATGAACATTTAAACAAATAATCAAGTTGATCATAATAAATTACCAACAGCTTTTGATTTTTTTGCTTTTTTCCCCACATTCATTTATTACTCATTTTGTCCCTGACCTTTTAAAAGAGCAGATGTTGCTGTCCTTCATATTCTGCTTGTTTTGCAATGTTAAAATGATAATTTTTTTAACCAAGTAAGGAGGAGGATTGGAAGCAGGAGGTTAATTACTCATTTCAATTTGTCTGTGAATCACACTGTAATATGTCATTACATCAGACCCAAGTGACCCAAACATGAATCAGAACAAAAATAATTGAGATTAAAGTCTGAAACAAAGTTTTAAAAATGAATTATAAATATTAAATAATAATAAAATTGTTAAACTTTGAGAAGGTTGTACCATATTTTACCCTAATAAATGGAAAAACCTTCAGTAATAAAAAAATAAACATTTACAAAATGTTTTTAGTAGCAGGGTTTGTATTGAATCCCTGTCAATCTTGTGAGCAGGCTGCAAAACATATTACCTAACAAATTGATACACCTCTAATGACATTAAGTAAAAAAAAAAAAACAACAACTCAATTTTAATATCCTTTTGAATTTTTAATTAAACAAGGCTGGACATTAAAATGGTCCTATAATATATGTAGTATCTCACATAGATAGTCAATCCTAACACTGAATTTATTAAATCCTTGCATTTTATCAAAATGTAGCAAAGAATACTGAGTTAGTTTCAAGGTAAAGCAAAAAATAAAAACCCAATGATATTATCATTTTTGTTTAAGATATGAAAGAGCTAAAAAAAAAAATACTTTTCTGGATTTAAAAAATTAGGTAAGTATTGAATGTGCAAGAAAAAAAGTATTTGCAAGTTGAGTTGAATCACCAAGATTAGCCAGCTTTGAATAAATGTAGTCTCGATATCTGGGATGTCAGTATTCATCATGAAATGGGTATTCTGGATGATCGGACCACCTGTTGAGTTGGTAAATAGGAATATGAATATTAAATTTAAAACAGAGGCAAAATATCATAGGTTTTGTGAAATACTGACATCAGGAGCTCCACAAAGCGAATATTCTTGTTCAGCCCCTCGATTGCCTTCATCTCATCATCCGACAGGGAGAAGTCAAAAATCTGCACAAATAAGTGAAACTAAATTATCACTCTTATTTTCAACTTGTAATAAACAGATGTGATGGAGGCATACATCAAAGTTCTCCTTTATGCGCTCAGGTGTGAAGCTTTTGGGGATGACCACCACTCCTCTCTGCATGTTGAACCTCAGGCACACCTGCGCTGTTGTCTTTTTGTACTTTTTGGCAATCGTGACCAGAACCTCATCTTCCAACAATGGGGGACATTTTAGGTTCACCCTTTAAAAAAAAAGTCCAAGTGAGCATGCATACACATACTATATACTACTACTATACTACTGCTTTAACTTTGAATGCCTAAATATATATTAGTTTTATATAGAAGTTAATGTTCTACACTTTTAAAGTCCCTTTTTTGTGGTTAAAGAAACACATATGATCTGTAAGAAAGGTTATCCATAATTTCTGCTAATAGAAACCAAAATATTATGATGATAATAGTTTATTTTAACTAATTTTACTCAGGAAATCCCTAAAAATGTTTGCAGGTTGCCACAAACGATTTCCAGAATTCAGCCTGTTTGGAAGAAAGTGTTCTGATCAATTTTGACAAATATTTAATTTAAAGGCCTACATACAAAATGAGGGGGGTGCAAAGTAAGTAAATAGAAAAGCTCTTGGATAACGCAAACTTCTGCCAGGTAGCTAATTTCCCCCAACATATTGTGATTTCCACCTTAAGTTCACGGAACCTTTCAAAAAATTCCTGGATCCAGATGGTGATCCGGGTCATCACCAAAATATAATTTGTTGCCAATCGCAATCGCTTAAACTTTTTTAGTATTTTCAAAACAGACAAAGCTCCTTGGTTAAAGTAGCACAACAAATCAGGACAAAGGTGCAATCCCCACTATAAAACATGGTGGTGGAAGCATCATGATGTGGGTTTATAGGTAAAAGAAACAGAAGTCTTTATCATAAAGACCAGCAGAATCTAGCTGGTATTTATCAAAAACACATATATATCAGTCTCCTGTTTGGGATTTTACAAAAAACTTAAAACATATATGAATATTTCTACATGGCACTCGACAATTAATTGTCTTGTTTTCCCTCTCTCTACGTTCTTTGGATTTAATCCCCATAAACTCTACTAATGGATACCATTATATTGGTGAAATACTCAGACACACAATATTGTTGAGGGGTTAAAATCTGGATTTATTCATTAAAAGTTACATCTACTGTATTTTCAATATGGGACCATTTTTATTAAGTAAAGACGAAGTCATTGTACGGATTATTGGATTTTCAAATTTTGAATTAATAGACAGTAACAATCATACATTTCCTGAAGTATTCAGTAATATCCTTACCACGATGCATCCCTAGATGTCCCAAGAGGGCTGTAACCAACGATGACTATGTCCTTCTCCCGGCAGTATTGAAGTAACTTTGGCTGAGTGAAATAGGGGTGGCATTCAACCTGAGTTTAAAAAGAGTAAAAAAATAAATTTTACTCTGGTTATTAAGATAACCTTTGACTTAATGAGAACTGAAACCCTAGTATGAATGACACTATTAACACTTATAATTATAGAAATGCCTTTGACTTTAAATAAAGCCCTAAAACTCTTTAATTGTCAGTATTTAAAGCTAAATTAACAGCTAGTTAAATGTTAATTAATATTTATAATATGCATGGTAGGCTATGTGATAAGCGACACCTAATTGGTAAAATGGTGTTTTATTTGTTTGTGATTAAGTCCTCCTCTCTTAAGAAACAGGTTAAGCTTCTCTTTTACATCATGTTCTATTAGAACTATGCAAAAAAATCCAAAGCAGTACCTGGCATTTTAATTATATATATTCTAACTCTGTTATTGAAATCAGTTTATTCAAATGAATCTATTGCATTCCTCTTTGACAAGCCCAGCAGCCTTTTCAGGAGGGCTTCTTTGCAAATGGAACCACCTTAATAACGTTGTTGCCAAATATTCACTATATATGCTGATGATTTTATCATTTCAATCGTTTTACTCCTCAGTAAAAAGTCTGTTTTATTTAAAATAAAATATTACAAAAGTACATTGGATTATTTCTTCTAGCTATTTGCGTAATTAGTTTTTAATGAAGCTTTTTATTCGGGGTATTTATTTGTTGATTTTATGATTCTTTGTGATGTGTTCATTCTTTATGTCTTAATAAAAATATTTCGGATATTATCCTTTTTTATTATTAAAGAAATGGAAATAAATATGATATCAAGAGTTTTAGGGCTTAACTAACAGTTAATCATCGGCTATTTCAGGCTTTTTAAAAATAATTAATAGTAACTTATAAAGGGGTTCATATTTTAAATTAATTCTGATTAATCCATCTATAAAATAGCAATCTGCACTTTTATTTGAGTTTATGTAAAATATGCAGATCCTTCAATGATGGAACAGCACCATTAAATATTCCTAACCGGTTTACAGCTTTTTTACTCATTTGTTATAGTTTTGCTTATCTATTTAAAATAAAAAGAGTCTGTTTGTATTGTGGTGTCGACTCAACAATGTTTTTTTCTGCTTTATCTCTATTTAATTTCTTTATACCTCTTGCTTTGTATGTTATGGCACTTAAAAAAATACACTTTCCTAAAAGGGCATGAACTTTTGAGATGTTAATGTTTTGCCTTTGATTTGAAGTGAAACGCTTTTTAAAAATGTTGTAGTACCAAGCAGGTTTTTTTTAAATTAACTGGTAATATTTGTGTTACAGGTTTATTAACATTTTATTAGTCTTTACTAAGGAATTCTGACCTTGAAACCAGTTATTATGTGTTACATTTGTATGTGTTTCCATCTTCTAAACTTTCCCAGCTCTTTTTTTATTAGTTTGTTTTTTTGTCCTTGAACAATGCATGTTCTGCAATGAAGTACCTGGTTTGACACGGGTTTGTGCTTCAGGCCAGGTTTG